GAAGGATGATATTAACATCGGGTGTACAACTAAACTAGAAAAAAATGATAGCATTACGAATGATAAGATAACGATCATGATAGGAGAAAATATCAACATGTTATTTTCTCTAAAATAACTGATAAGTTTCACCAAGGCATCTATATTGTCTCAACGGATAAAGATCTGTATATCAGATATGATACCATTGCTTATTAAATATGAAACCAGAAATACGTATATCCATTATTACCTAGCACCCAAGGTTAAAGATAATTAATTTACGATTTAAATAAATATATTTATTTACTAGAATTAAAATAAATAAATAAAATACAAAATATTACAAACTATTAACTAACAGTGTCTACTCTTCACGTGTCTTACTATCTGTCTCCATTTATTACTACAATCTTTACAAATGATCTCCAAATCTGGATTAGAATTATTCATCTCTATAATATCATTACACGTTTTGCATTTATCAAGATAAATCCTTTTCTTGGAATCCCAATATCTTTTACCAGATTTACACATGCTGCATGATATCTGTTTATGACCGCAATCTATGCATAATTTAAAATAACACTTCCTACCCTTGTTCCAACCAACCTTTCCCTCTCTATACAATCTGCATATCAGTGCATGTTCCTTTAATAAATTTTCATGACACTCTTTGCACTTTGAATTCTTTTTGTATCTCATATTGCCACACAAACATAAATCTTCTGATTCAAAAAGTAGTTCGATATTTTCTCCACTGGTAAAGAAATACAACTCATTTTTAAGATCTTTGTTTTCATATTCAGTAATCACTTCACGGCCTTGAAACGCATGTTCAATTTCATTCAGAAACTTCAGGTTAAGCAGAACCTCGAAGACATGGTCGTCATCTCGTTTGATATTACTATTGTTTAGTAGTAATGCGAAGAGAGAATTCGTTTAATTTTTGATTATATCTCTCCTTGTCATGATTTTTTTTTCTTATCACCGATGATAAAGACAATAGTTTCCTTATCTCGTAGAACACAAGAAGTACAATATGTTTCATAATCTGGAAAAGATTTTATTTCACATCTGTTAGAGAAACAGAGTTGGCACAATGGAGCATTTCAATCAATGCATTGAGAACAATTGCAGGAGCCCAACATAGTACAAGATTCCATTTTTTATTTAGTGTATATTAAGAT